ATGGTTATGTTAAGAGGTAGTTTATATGGATAGGAGGGGAAGATAACAGTTAATTCTAGGCTTGAATAGGTTAAGATTGTAGTGATTGGGGAAACATCCTCTTGGGAGTCTGTTCCACAGAAATGCTGTTCAAGTAATACTTACTTGTCAATGGAAAAAAGTGTTGTTTTCCCTGTTACAATCCAAACAGGTACTGCCCCTCATGTATCTCAAATAGCCTTTGACAACTAAGTCCAGTTCCAAACCAGAGAATGGACAAAGACAGAAAACTGGCTCCTCATAACCAGCTGTTTTGGGTAGATAGATAGTTTGACAGCCAAGGAAGGCAGTTTAGGAGAAAGAAAAACCTTGTTTTTTTAGATCTCTGCTATTTTACTGTCGTATCCAACCAAACACAAAAAAAGGGAAATTAAAGTAAATCCAGACAGAAAATCCAGAGTGACACACCAAATGTAGTTGGCTGTTAACTGTGACAACTTTCCAACAACTCCTGCAGCCAAGCCACCCCCCCAGATGTAATGCCCTGTGTTTCTTGGATCTTGGGGGGAGGGGGTGCACATAGTCTGGGCAGTGCATGTCTTTCATATACCACCACCCAGGACAGCACTCTGAAGAGGTCATTCCAATCTCACCCACAAAGGACTTAATTTTGAACAAACTCACAAGATAAATGAATGCCTACTATTACAAAGAAAATTAAGATTTATTAAAATATGATTTGTCTTTATTGTTTTTATTAACAATTGTAAAAAGTAGTGAGAATTTTTTTTTTTTTTGTAAATTCTATATCAAGAAAATTTTAAATTAAATTTTGTCAGTTGAAATTTGATTTCATATTTTATAGTTGCTCATTTTTTGTTATGTTTTTTAAGTGGGCATATATTTAGTAATGTTTGAACATTGACCTTCTAACCATGTACAAAACAAGACTTGCAAGAAAAGGTTATATATAAATAAATTTTATCTATAATATTTAAAATCCGCAAGTGAAGTGTTTCAGTAAATTTCATTGTCTATACAGTATCAAAACCATTTCTTCATCTGAATGAATAACAAACACTATATAGTAAGTTTTTCCCTTTTCATATAAGTTTCATCTGGACTTCTTTATTATTATTATTATTATGTCCATAAAATTTTGGAGCTTAATTTTTGCTATTGATTTTGCATCATAATAATAATCAGAAAGATTAATATTAAAAAGTGGTTGGAACAAAAAATAAACCCTAACCATTTGATTCTCCCCCACCTATCAAAAAAGGTTGCTAGTTTTGCAAGTCATGATTCTTTCCCAGCCTTATTTGTATGTTTTGTTCTTTAACTTATGACTCTCAGGCTCAGTCACTTAAGGTAATCCTGAATTAGTAGAGAATATGACTACAGATTATGTCACCTCTTTTATTTTCATAGTTCACCAAGAAAGTACCTTTTCTTTTTTCTTTTTTTTTTCCAGCATATAAAGAGCTCTATAGCAAGAGGACAGTAAATGTCATTAGAAAAGAATTGAAATAAAGATATGCCAACTAATAATACCTTAGATTATTGTCATCATTTAAAGATAAATTGTTAAACAGAAGTAGGTTTTGGCGTATCTTTTATTTACGAAGAACAACAGTTTGTTGTAAATGAAAGATATCCCAAAACCTCCCTCTGTTTAACAAGTTATCTTTATCCTTATATAGACAAAATTAGATTGAAAAACAGTAAATGGTTTAAAAACATTCATTACTTTATAACTTAACAGATATTCGTAAACAATTTATAGCTGTATGTAATATGTATGTCACATTACTACCTATAAAAAATAATTTGTAGGAGGAAAAAAATATCCCTTATTAATCATTGTTAAAGACTTTAAAAAAAAAAAAAAAGTCTCTCTCATATCTGGTGTATGTTTGTGTGCGTGAAAGTTTACTGAAGACCAGTGTTATTTCTCTAAGGAAGGTTTTTGTTTTGTTTTTGTTTTTTTTAAAAAAAATTTCTGTTTTGTTCTTTTTTTCCTCTCTCTCTCTCTTCTTACTTTTCTGTCCAACATGCATCATCTCCCACACTGCTTTTGTCTGCAGTCTTTTGCACATCACCCAATGCTACAAAAATCCTCTCTCGCTTGTCACCACAACAGCACACCAAGCACCACTCTTTTCTCCACCAACACATAACTCCCCACCATTCAGCATCATCAGTAAAATTACAACCATAATGATTACAGAAAGCAACCACCTTAGATATTTGTAATTAAATGTGTGCCTGTGTATAATATATATATATATATATATATATATATATAAATAAACGTTTGAAGTTACTTTTAATTATTTTCAGTATTGTATAAATTTTATCAAATTGTTTCATTGTATTTGTGATACTTTTCTATACCTATTAATTTTATCATTGATTATTGCATTAAACAGAGTGAATCGAGTGCTATAATTCCTTTGTCTACAATGGTCATTTTTATTACCTTTTATTTTTAAGGGGGTTTATTCATGTGTACCTTTCCAAAATGAATTTTTCTAGTTCTTCATTTTGCCCAAATTTTTTCTATACATACCCAACATTCCCTACATCTATATTTTCTGTTTTATACTCACAAAATTTCTTAAAGCTGACTCTTTGAGTTTAAGGGACCCCCCCCCCACTGTGGGCTTAAATTGTCTGCTGTAATATGTTTTCCTTTCAAGTTAATTTACCTTAATTAATCTCAGTTTAGCTCAATGACGCCACTCTGTGGGAACTGAATGCAATATATTTTCGTTTAAAATAAAAAAAAAAATAGTGCAGCAGAAATGCCTCGCACATAATAGTAAGACATTGCCATTAATGTTTTACCATTATGTGGGAGGTATTTCTGCCACGCCCTGTTGAAAACACTTCATGATCAGAGTAAGTTGGATTAGTTCACAAAGATGTTTAGGTTCAGTTCCCACTGCTTATCTGTTTTGAATCTACAGTTGCAAATGAGTGAAAATGTCTGCACACATTACTAACAACATATCCATTTCTCATCTAACACCTGAAGAACTGGTAATAATCATTTCTTTCTGTGAAAACTGTAACACATTTTAATAGCCAGAGTTTCTTTCTATATGTGGAAAAAAAAAGTCTCAAAATAAAAATCTGTCAGAATTTGATTTTATCAACAAAATAGAAACCAACATTCCCTGAAATTTTCATGTGTATGGAACAACTGTTCTTCAGTAGAATGAACTCTTTTAAGAAGAAACACATTTGTTTGCCACTTTTCTCACCAGCTCTGTCATGTATGAACACGCACACACTTTTCTATCTCACTGGTAACACAAATATTTATTTAATATCCTTAAAGGGCATGCACCTATAGCCATAGAAGTCCACAGAAATTAATCCAGTTATAGTTAAATTTAATGTAAGCTATTATTTGATTATTACTCTTAAATATTGATCTGCAAGGGAGGCACTTCTGGCCAAGTGTATGGACTTCTCCATTGCACAGAGGTGTCCCCTAAAATGGCCTCATCAAACTCTTTGGCTTCACTTTCTGCCACTCTTCAGCTGGCCTCAAGGCTGGACTGGCCTATTCAGGATTCCCGCAGCACACCCCAAATTGGAAAGCCCTGTCAGATGTGTCCAGTTTGCCCAGCCACATTCACCGAACACACTCCTCTGTGACTCCTGCTCATGATTCTTCAGGAGTAGGCTAGGCCTTCACAGCCATCTCTGTCACCACCACACCTGAAAGGAGAAAGGGAATAAGAAGAGAGAATAACAATCTCGATGCGAGTGGGTGCCAATTCTTAAATATTACATAATATTAGCTTATTACTATTTAATACCAATAATTTGAACATGTCCACTTTTTTCCTACCTTTTTTAATCATTTCACCCCAAGTAAGGCAGTAAAGACACTAAATCATAAGGGGGTTACTGAGCATGAAAGAATAAGAAAAAGAGAAAGGAGTGAGAACAATAAAAGAGAAATTAAGAAGACAATACATAACGATTGACATTGCATTTAAATTTTTGAAGATCAGAGTTGGCTGGAGAGCAAGAAGCTGGAAGAGTTCCACAAGCAAGATAAGAAACTGTTAACATAGAACTTATGGTTGCATCTAGCAGCCATTTCAACTGTATAATGATTAGACATTGCCGCCAATCTAGTAATACACTTAAATTTATAAAGTCTAGGTACCATTGCAGAAAGTTCATCCCAACAATTACCATGAAAGTATTTATAGAAAAGATGAATTCATCATAGTCACTGGCATCTAATAATAATAATAATAATAAATGCTTTTTACATATCTTAACATGTGAAACCAATTACTTACTCAGATGATATCTCTTCTCCATATTTTGTTCATTTTTCTGTAAAAGTTTCCGTCTAACCAACAGATTCCAATTATCTTTTGGGTTTAATGGGTCAAAGCATCTCCAAATATTTGAAAAAGAAAATGAAAAACCAATGTGAAATTCTTTGAGGCTGATGAATGACACTCCTGAGGATACGTGCAGTAATATTTTTATAGGTTGTCACAATAGGATTCAGGTCTAGAGTGCTGGGTAGGTGAGATGCATAACTTATGCCAAAGAAAGTATATTGATTTTAAATTCAGTACAAAACTGCTGGGGGCTTATGACAAAATTGAAGACTAATTACTTAGAAGCAAAGAAAGCTGTGGTGGGTCACAACCACAGGTATTCTTTAAAAATTACATTAAAATGTATAGGTAAAAATAAAAACAAATTCTGCCATCCAAAAATGGGTAAAATGAAGATGAGCGACGTTTTCAAATTATCGCCATTAAATCTGCTTCACATGAATAAACCCCATTTGTTTATTTCTATTTTGGTTCTGCGCAGCGGACAAGTTACCATTCACTAATGTTTTCTGAGGCTCTGTTTTATTGCAGTACATATTGTCGTAGTGTCTTTACCCCCCCTTTTTTTTTTTTTTGAAACTTTGAAATTATATTGCTCCCATCCCCACTTTCCAAATTCTTACATCTGTCTCTTGACCTAAGAGGTGGTCATACCTGGACAGCCTCCAGTTCCCCTCTTTGTCACCCTTTTTGTTCATTCTTTGCTAATCTTGCATTTATTCTTATAGGAAGAGACTGGGTGGATTATGATGATCCAACTGTCATTGCGGAAAATGAATTACGAGGAGCAGCAAGCTCTATTGAGGCTGCTGCTAAGAAATTATCACAGCTCAAGCCAAGACAAGCCACCAAAGTAAGCCAACTCAGTTTTTTTCTTTTCTTTCTTTCTTTTCTCTCTTCCCCTTTTCCTCTTTTCCTCTCCTGTCCTCTCCCCTTTTCCTCTCCTGTCCTCTCCCCTTTTCCTCTCCTGTCCTCTCCCCTTTTCCTCTCCTGTCCTCTCCCCTTTTCCTCTCCTGTCCTCTCCCCTTTTCCTCTCCTGTCCTCTCCCCTTTTCCTCTCCTGTCCTCTCCCCTTTTCCTCTCCTGTCCTCTCCCCTTTTCCTCTCCTGTCCTCTCCCCTTTTCCTCCTCCTCACTTTGTTTATGAAAGCATATCACTTCATTGTGTCTGCTATTTATGCCATTGTTTCAACTCAAACATTTTGGGGTTTTAATTTCTCTATATGACAAAAATTTTTAAAAATTAAATACTTGATTAACAAAAAAAAAAAAAAATGTTGCAAAACAATTTGCATATGTATTGGCACTTCTGTCTAGGATCAGTATTGTATTAGTGCTACATGTATTTTGGCAACTAGACTTATTTCAGACATTATTGTTCATATTATTCAACATGTTTGAAAACACACACACACATTGGGATCAAATACAGATCAAAATCTGACAGAATAATAGAATAAAGAACAAAAAGGAAACATTTATAAATCCAACATGTTTCACTTTTATTAAAGCTTCATCAGAGAATGAGATATGGAATGAATTTTGCTCTTTTTATTTTTGTGTTTGATTTTCATTGGTTTATGAGTCTTCATGTGCATTAACCAATACAAATCAAACACAAAAAATATCGGAAAATTCTTTCCATATCTCATTCTCTGATGAAGCTTTAATAAAAGTGGATTTATAAACGATTCATTCATTCATATATATATATATATATATATATATATATATATATATATATATATATAAATAAACACAACAGAAATAATGTGCTAAAGGTTTTTTTAAAATAGGAAATCAACTCAAATTCCAGCCATTTTCCTTTCATGGGCTCAGAATAAAGGCTACTACTACAAGCATCACACAACTACATCTTAAAAGACAATCATGAAAAGAAATTAACAAAAACATCTTAAAAAAATAGCTAAAGTGGCTGAAAGTATTTCGGGCAATAGACACTACAGACAATTTTTACACTCCTTACCTTGAGCCAAACAGGAAGAAATTAATACTAGAAAAACTCAACAAAAAATTTATCAAATTTTCCTTGTCATATTCAACAAAACATGTTTGAAAGGTTGCTGCCCAAATATACATTTTACACACACACACTATATGGATTACATGCTATTATGCATGACATGTATTGTGAAATGAGTTTCCTTAGCAATTGTAACCTATAAGAATGTAAGGATCAAACTTGCTTTATGTATTGTTTTGTTCTTGAAAACTCCATTTATAAAATAGATTTTATTTAGATAATTCCATATTTAAAGAGAAGTTACAAAATGTTTTTCCAAGGATTTTTTCAGGTTATTGGTAATTGATTTAATGGCTACAATAAATAAAACTTATAGAATCTTTTTAATTTATTTTCTTTTCAAGATCATTTCATTTTTTTTCTTTCAAAATTGTGATTTTTATTTACTTTTTTTTTTTTTTTTTTTTTTTAAATTTCATATTAACTATTTTATTTTAATGCCATTTTTTGGGGTTGGAGGGAATTTCAATTTTTTATTCTGCTTTCTTCTCTCCACGTTTATGTATAAAATCAATGCTTTCTTGAAACACCGCATGCAACTTTTAGTTGCATGCTTTTTATATCACACCTCCCCACTCCCCTGCAACTGAACTTCTCCAAAAGTTCTAAATCATTTCATCAGAATTTTTGTATTTTAATTTGTATTTTTTTTTTTTTTTATCCCTTTCCCTAAAGCTCATGAGGTTTCAGGCTCAAAACTGAAATCATCTTCAGAAATGCCCCTAAGATTTCTTCAGTTTCTTTAAACAAAATCTTAATTGCTAACAACCTGGAGAGATGTTTCATGTTATAGTTCAATTAGAATCAGCAATATAAAAATTTTCTTTTTTTTTTTTTTTTTTTAAACTTGGCATGCAAACACACTTAATTTGTTGTATAAATTTATCTTTGCACAATCATCTACTCGACTTGTACGTTTGATGCCCTCATCCACCAACTCAGCCGTTTTTCAGTCAGTCTACCATTTTCAGCCCCAGCACGCTGAGCGGGCATCATGGGCAGAAAGCACACAATGAGTGCATTTTTTCCAGCTGTCCACTGCATGTCCACTGCCCCCCTTTTACGGAGATGAATCAATGGCTGCCTTGACCAGATATGTTTGATATTTTTTGGTGGTAGCATATTCTATTCCACCAAGTATCAATCATGTCCGCGTTGTGGCAGGCCTCCGCAGCCGAGGGTGAATGGACGGCAGACCACTCCAACAGGTGAAGGATAGTGACAGCAACACATTTACCAGACATCTGACTGAATGTATTTCTTATTCTTTTTACACACATACACACATTGGTGGTACACAATCTTTAAAAACGTTTCCATGTTTTTAATGAACTCTTCTCACAAAACAAAAATGATAGGTATGTTATTTTGAACATTTCCCTTTCTCTCTCTCTCTCTATCTTATATAAATATTAATTTCTGTGAGATTTTTCAGAAGGAATCTCTATCAGATTAAAAGTTCAGTATTCATGGATGAAATTTCAAAAAGAAAAGGCACAGTGATACAGACGCACACATGTGACAGGTTGCTACTTCAATTTCGAATTGAGTGTCTATGAGAGCATGTGACTCAAAAAGCCACCTTTGCTTCTGCAGGCTTTCCAGCATATATAGCAGATAAGACTTGAGTTTATCTGATCCTTATGCAATATATATAATTAATACAAGTAAAATAACTTACCTGATTGATGTTACCTTCAGCATCCCATCTCCAGAGTTTCATAAACAGACCTGTCTGTCCACTGATTGTCAGGTATCAGCAATTGACTGCTTATACTTCTCAATTTTTTTTTTTCTTATATCCACTTATCTTTGGTATTTGACCACTTAAATGTTATTTTATAGTGGATACCAATGCTTGAGTAGATGCTCTATTTATTTATTTTTGTCTACTGGCCTGAATATTTATGGAATCTTATTCCAGTAGACAGAAATAAATAAATATACTGTTTAATAAATAAATGGAGCATCTACTCAAATATGGGTATTCACTAAAAAAAATAATGTTTAAAGTAATAAAATCCACTCCTTTAGAAATTGCTTTATATATACCATTTTTCGTACTTATATATACTTGAGATATGTGTAATATCTATGCACACATATACATCTCTTACATTATCTCCTTTCTACATATATACACACACATACACACCTTTTCCTTCATATACGCAAGGAGATTTTTGTGTCTTACACTCTATTTTCATCTACATATAAACAAATACTTTTCTCTTAAATAAAAGGCAGTGGGGGGAAATAACATCAATTTCCTTTTGCCACTGAGTAAAGTGACATCCCATCAGATGAAGTATTTGAGATAAGGGATGAATGGTGCTTGAGAAGAGAAACCCATCTTGTCAGATCTCAGTACTCTCTCTCTGTCTCTCATATATATATATATATATATATATATATATATATACATACACACACACACACACACACACACACACTGACGACACTACCATTGTTTGACTTTTCACTGTATTCATCCTAATGAAACCAATTCAACAGACTTAAAACGCTTTTCAGGTAAGACATATATTTTATCATATAATTCTTAGTCTTTCTCACCTGCATTTACCTGTTCTTTTTTTTTTTTCTTTTTTCTAATTCTTCATTTCAGAAAGCCGATGAGTCACTTGACTTTGAAGACCAGATATTGGAAGCTGCCAAATCGATTGCTGCAGCCACTGCTGCTTTAGTTAAATCAGCATCTGCTGCCCAAAAGGAATTGGTCCTCCAAGGAAAGGTCAGTGACAATTGGCTGTTTTACATTGGGAAACTTCTTTACCCCATCTCACACGTCTGCAGCCAGTAGACACAACAAACTTAATGAAAAGAAACTTGGGTTCTATGAAGAATTTCAACAATTTTTCTCTTTCTATTTATTTATTTATTTTTTCAATCTTTTACTGTAAAATTTGATCATTTAAATCACAGCTAACAGCCATTATCTTTGAAGTTAAAAGAAAATAAAAAGTAAATGCTTTCTCTGCCTGCAGCAGAATGCTCAACTGAAATGACTGAAGAATTTCAGTCACTGTTTTTATGGGCTGATACACCTTCACAGGTGACCCAGGCTTGATGGGAGAATTGATTGAGTCATCATCTAGAATGGTTAACAAGCAAGGCTATAGAACCTAGTCTGTCTTGCTATGTAACCCATAGCATGTGGGGGGGGGCAAATTCATACCTTTCTCAAGGGTATTTGCATGTCAGTGAGTGTAGCAAACTCGGCTGGAATTTAAACTCTGCTCTTCAATTTCTCATTCCGAACTGCAATCCATCATACCACCCGCACATCCTTTTTAATATATTTTCTTATTTGTCAGTCTTTGTAAACATTATTTTATGCCTTCTATAGATGAGGTGACCAAAAAAAAAAAAAAAAAAAGAGGTATAAGGATATAAGTAAATCCTATAAAATGCCTTAAACCCTCTTTGGTTATCCTCTTCTCTTTGGATTGCAATGATATGCTTAATTTTCATCACCTTTGCTTCTAATTTGTAAGATGTAATAAAAGGACAGTTCTTTTCAGTGAACAATGAAAGATTTGAAGCTATCTAACTAAAAGAAGTATGGCTGCTAAAAATGTTATGTGAAACTAGACGAGGAAAGATAACCACACCGTCCTTTTAGACATGGAAAAGATATTTAATGACAGTCAACATGTTCTGAAAGTATATTTCAGAATTCTTGAAGTTTTCTTTAAAAAAAAAAATAATTAAATTTAAAAATTAACTGTAATTCCAATTGACTTTCAAAGATTGAACAGCATATATCTGTTGTTCATGAATATGTTTGTTTTAAAGTCAGTTTAAAGTCTGTTGTGAAACAAACTTTGTCATTAAAAACAAAACTTACATTGTGATGGTTTCCGGGATATTTTTTCTAAAAATGTAAATTTTCCATTTATTAGGTATCTTCAACCTTTTCTAAAACAACAATGGATGAAGATGGGCAGTGGTCACAAGGATTAATCTCTGCGGTAAGAGTTTTTTTTTTTTCACCAAAATTAGAATGAGAGTGAGTGTAGATTATTACCCAACCATCTGACTCTCTAATATTCATTATCAAGTTGGAATAAAATAAATAAATGGTTGTTTTCAGTTACAAACTTTAAAACTACCTGGCTGAAATGCAATTTTATTATTTAAAGGTAAGCACCATTAGAATTTTTTTTTTTTTTTGAATCAGAATCACCCCAAGAAAGGCAGTAAAGCCACTAAGACACAAGGGGTTATAGGGTGTGGAAGAATTAGGAACAGAAACATTAATGATGAATAGAAAAAGAATAGAGTAATCAGGGGGACAGTAGATAGTGATTGATATTGCATTTAAAGTTTTGCAGATTAAAGTTGGCTGGAAAGCATGGAGCTGGAAAGGAGTTCCACAAGTGAGAAGTGCAAGAGAAGAAACTGTATAGAATTTATGGCTACATCTAACCAGCTCAGCTGTAAATTGATGAGATCTTGATGTCAGTCTAGTGTTGGGCTTAAATTCATAAACTCTAGGTACCATAGTGAATAGCTCATTCAAAGAATTACCATGAAAGTATTTATTGAAAAGACAGAGACGTAACCTTACAGCGGTAGGGAAAGTGACTGGAACTGAGCCATCAGGTCAGGGCCTATAATATTGCAGATTCTTCTTTGGATTTTACCAAGGAGCTCAAGGTAAATAGCAGTGGTACCAAACCATATATGTCCACAATATTCTAAGTGTGGACGAATGCTAGACTTATAGATATGTAAGATAGATTCTAGAGAGAAAAATTGTCTCACCCAACATAGTGAATTGACTTTCTTAGCAGCTGACCTAGCAATGGATCCAATATAGTCTTTCCATTTCATATCAACAGAGAACGTGAGCCCAAGAAGGCACAACAAGTCACTTTCTTGGAGGATAGCATCAGCCATGCTAATGGAAGGCAGCAAGGTGTCTCTCAGATAATGGAGATCTGTTTAGTTTTAGAATTGGTACAATGTTGTTGCTAAAAGTCTAGTAGGGAATTAGAATAAAAACTGAGGTCATGTGAAAGTGACAAACTGTTGGAAGGCATTTGCAGTCCTTTGTCTACGTTTGCTGGCATGTATATGCATCTTGGGGCCTGGAAAATATCTATTGAAGAAAAGAGGGTAGATCAGAACCTTGATGCCTAACTTTTTCTTTTTGTTTTTATTAAAATACAAGGTTTTGCATTATCCTGAAGCAAGATGGTGTCCTTTCTATTCACCACTGCTTGCCAAAAATGTTTAATTTTTGATGAATTGATTTCCAAAACCCCGACGGTAGGATTCAGCTATGATGGTCTGATTAAGTCATAATGGATTACATTGCCTACAAATGACCAGAAGGATCTTTTTGGAGTTAAGATTTGATTTGGGACCAATTGTGGGGGGGGAAGTAAGTTTGTCGACCTAAAGAGAGCCATATTACCAATTATGCAGAAACTATTTTTCATCAGCAAACACAGGATCAAGATAAAGAATATTTTTTAAAACATTACAAACTACCAATCATCAGTGAAATTATGTCCAACTCACATTTTCATTTTTTTCATTTAGTCATTAAAAAGAAGGTCTTGATAGTCCAAAAGCATTTCCAAGTCCTTGCGGGTGACAATTTATTTTCCAACCTCTCTCTCTCTCTCTCTCTCTCATAGGTGGGAAGTGGCAAGCTTCTCACTGCTTTATCGCTACTTCCATGGAAGTTACTTGAACAAACTACATTCCTTGGTTTTGCTAGTTCTAACCTTCACAGGTACGACCCACCATGCCACTCACATTGTAGCAAACCACTCTCATTTCTTCTATATTCCATTGGTGAGAAGAAAATTCCACTCGAACAACTTTCCATGAACCAACTTCCAGAATGATGTCCCCCCCCCAATTCACTACAAACCTAACGTGTTCAAGTCAAGGGTCAACCATTATCTTCCTCTCCTATCCACATAAACTACTACTTAATGTAACCCTCTACCTCAAGTAGCCCCTGGGCCTTGTACAGGGTGAACCTTACTGTAAAAAAAGAAAAAAAAAAAAAAGTCATCTTTCTTCCATCTCAAATGTATATCTAAGGAAGGCCAAAGAATGAATCAACCAAAATATTGTAGTAATAACAAAAAGAATGATATTCACAATCCAAGCAACTCTGATAATTATAGAGAATGAATTATGCTTTAAATTTCATTGCTGTCAATGTTTTACTTACCAAGATAAAGCAAAAACGAAGAATATTTAAAAGTTTAATTTATAATATGAGTGATAACAAGAAAATAATCTAAGAAATAATAGAAATGGTATTTCTATATCAATACAAACATATTGTTTCCTTTTTTTCTTTTCGGCTTCTAGGCTCGCCGTGTTGCTGCAGCCACTCATAGTTTGTGTGAAGCAGCAAATGCTATGGTACAAGGCCAGGCCAGTGAGGAGAAGTTGATTGCCTCAGCCAAAGAGGTTGCGGGATCAACAGCTGCTTTGCTGGTTGCCTGCAAAGTCAAGGCTGATGTTGGATCTATATCCATGCAACGTTTACAGGTAAGCTGCACATTTTCTTTCACATCTTTCTGCAGGTAAAAGCCTTTTGTTTTATCTTTATATATTTGTGTAAGGGCATAAACTTGTCATCAGTAACAATTGTAGTATTCTGCTGTAGGTTATATATTTACTCTGTTACCTAATTAAAGTTGTATGTGGTTGAACTGCGCAACTGTTAATATTTGTCAACACACTCCACAACTGGAAGCAGTAATACGGAGCTGATCTCTGGTAAAATCTGAAACTGATCTTTTATCTAATCTCCTACGCTTTCCTCTCTTTTAGCTATTCATCAGTCTGCATATATTGACAACTGTCTATTCCATTAAGAGTGTTATCTACAAACACTATAATCTCAAAGTTAAATATGTGTTTTGTATTATGCAATACTTATCTTCAGCAAAGTCAAAAAGGAGCTGAAAAATGTACAAAGAAAAACTTTGGAAGAAGAGAAATGTTTTTTTTGTCTTGAAAACAACTAAATGAGATAAATTGGTTTTATCTAATGGTAATATTAGCCGTTTCCCTACAAGGAAACATTTGGCATTCATTGGCCGAGCAGCCAGTACTACTGCTTTTAGTTGAAATTTATGAAATCTTTCATAAAACAATTTTTCAGGAAAATAGGTTTTCTCAAGTCCAGTTGCTGTTATACCTCTTTCCAGTATTGATGTCAGTTTACTTCCTAACTTTTATTTTAAGTAGTCTGGAATGCAAACATCTTGATTATGAAATTATTTTCTCTTATTATATGTGCTATCCATTTGAGTTGTGGAAAGTCCACAAACATCTGATGTGGTTTCTGTTTGGTA